GTGTACCGTTGGTGTAATAGTGCTGCAACTCTGATTTTTTTACAGGAATTCTGTTCTAATGCTGTTAAAGTGCAGTTAGATCCATATGTTACTCCTTATCTTCTCAGATAAAATTTCAGTAAATTAATCAGTGGTGAAGAATGATTACAGTGCTCATGTTGAAGTCTGTAAAGCTGTGGACTTTGCTTTATTTTCTGAGCTGCAGCTGACTAAAATTATACTTTTTATGTACATTACACGTTCAGTTATTAAGAATGAGATATTTTGCAATTCCACCAAGTGAATTAACATAGTTCAGCAATTTGAACTGTCATTATACTCAGTGCCTTGAGGCTGAGCCAGTTGGAGGAAATGAGCCTAGAAAATTTCCTTGAGAGACTGAATTTTATGAAATAGCTTCCTAATTTGTGCGTACTTGTAAATAAGTCGGAGACTGATGCAAATCTCTTCCAACTCAACCACTCTGTGAAACTGAAAGGCTGTTTTCTCTTTTGCAGAACGTTAATGCTGACATCTAGTGGTAATTTTTTTGCATGTTCATGGTGACAGATGTGTCTGAAAATACTACCATGAGCAGAAATTTAGCTGATTCAATAGTTTCAAATACAGTTTTAGTAATTTTTTTGTAATTTGGTGGATTATTTCCATGAATGGATCTTAGCAGATTGCTGAAAATATTCAGCATCTAAGATCATTAGCTTTAACTGAGGATGATAGAAAATGCTTCCATACTGAGCAGTTCCTGTTCTGGGTATTGAGTATGTTAAGAATCTTCAGAGCTTAATTCTATTGCGCTTGCCAGTGAATTTCAATATTTGCTGGAAGCAAATGCACAAGAATTTCAAGGAGTCATTGAGAGTGAAAGTGTCTAAGGCCTCCTTTCTTCCTTCAATGTCTGTGCCCTGAACTGATTTCATGCCGTAGGCTTTTCTCAGGTAAATTTGTTATGCTTTTGCCAGGTCAGAGCATTTTTCTTCCTCTCCTGAAGGCCTGTAGACTGATCCTGGTTTTCAGGCAGTATGCACTGTGGTGTTCATTGCATTAAACTTGCTCAGGTCTCAGCTGTTCAGTACTGCGGGTGTGCTCAGAGCTCAGCTGCTCTGTAATCTGCCCTGTACAGGGGTTGTGGACAGACCCAAAACAAGTTACTAGAGGTAGAAAGCTTGTTATGGAGTGCCTATAGTCTTTGATGTGAAGATGTTCTGTAGATCTTTCTAGTCTAAATGACTTTCTAGCAGTCTAGAAAAATGGGTCACAAGTCTTGGGGACAAGGACAATCCATTCTAGTTTTATTTTCTTGTGTTTTAATACTGAGCATATTTGTCTCTAGGGAATCTTTGTCCTGCTATGACAGTGAGGAGCCATATTTTAATTTTATAACTGTGTGTATAATGTTTTGCTGTTCATATAGATGCACAGTGAACTGGAGGTCTTCATTCTGTCTTGTCTGCCAAGTGCTCAGTTATATCTGAGGATATAGAAACCCAAATGATACCAGTTTCCAGTATCATAGGCATGTTTGTCTTCTATTTGGACTGAGTAAAGAGGTAACCCATAATTTCTTTAAGTTGTTCTGCACTTTTAACTTTCCCTCATGCAGATCAGGCTGAATGTTAGACTACTGTTTTTGCAAATTTCCTCCAGGAGTAAAATCACAGTGAAGTGATTGGGGCACAAGGTAATTAAATCCCCTGTCAGCAGGACTAAATGAGACGAGCACAGCTATTACTGTGCATGGTGCTATGTAATTTGTGTCCTAATGGCTGTTCGTCCTTGAGAACCGCAATTTGTTCCAAGTTATTTTTGTTGCCTCAAAGCATTAAGCAGCAGATGAAAAAGTTCAGGCTCTTGCAATGTATTGCCTCTTTTGCAATACAGAAAAAATAGTTTTCAATAAATTGAACCAGACCCAGTACTTCACAATTTGAGTGATTCTTCTAGCAAACTGATGATCAAGTGCCTAGGAAAGGAGGAAAATAAGTTCAGCTGTCAGAGGGATACATCTGAGTGCTGCACCTATAGCTGTGATCTTTGAAAACTATGTTTAATACAATAGAAAATATTTGGTTATCTCCTAATTTTAATGTTGCTCTCCCACATAAAGAAATCGCATTTTTAAAAGGGATGCTTATTTATGGTTTTGTAGAAGCCTTAGTGCTTTGTGTTTCCAGACTGAGTAGTATTCCTTGGTCAAACTTAATACAAAACATTTGATTTGGGTTTCGTGTACTCAGGGTTTATAGAGACTCTGAAATGTAGCCAGGAATAAGTTGTCATCTTGCTAGGATTGCACCATGCTGTTCATCTGGGAAACATCGGTGGGCTCAAAGGGGGCTCACTGCAGTGGCTGTGGCTGCCTTGCTGTGGTCCTGTGCCCCCTGGTAGAGCTTCCAGGCAGGGCTGTGGTGGCGCCGCGCGGCTGCAGGGGACTCCTGCCTGCCTCAGCCTGCACCTTGGGCTGCCCTTCCTGCTTCCGCTTTCGTTTCTGCTTCTGTCTTTGCCCAGCTGCTTTTCGTGGACTGAAGCGGGTGCTGTGCCTGGGTGCACGAATACCAAAGAAGCCCCCAGTGGTAAGTGAATACTGGTTTTCACTGGAAATCAGAGAGACAAAGCAAAAACCAGTGAGTTTAGGTGGTGTTTTTGCCATTGGTTTTCTCAAAACAAGTTGGAAAAATCAATACTGTTGTCGATTGCTTAATGTGCGCAATTTAATGCTTATACTCAGATGCGTTTGTTCCCAGCTGGCAGGAGGTATTCCTTGTTACAAAAATGGTATTGATAAAGTGAGAATGTCAACCTGGGATCTGCTGGAGACTCATTGTACCTCTCTGCCATTCTCCACTTCCTAAAATCTGTGCTCGTAGCTTTAGAAACCGTAGTTCACTTTTGTTCATTAATATTGTTGTGCAGCCTTGTCCTTTGAGAGATGCAATTTCTTCACTAGATTCCCTTCCAAAGCATAGAAAAGCTAAAAGTGCCTCCAACTTTCTGCAGCCAAGATGACCAAGCAGCAAAAGGGCTTCCCTGTTGTCTGAAGAACTGTTTTCGGTTTTGCATGCATTTTGTTCCTTTGAAACTTAGGGATCAGCTGGTGATAAGTGCACAGAAGCCTGGCAGCTGCTTAAATTTCCCTATAACAGAAGACCCTCTGAGGGATCATGATAACGAAGGTCTTGGTACAGATGGGTTGACACTTGGTTTCCTCTGGAACTCTTCCAGCAGCTGTGATGCAGAGAAATGAGGAAGCAGAGCTGGTCCTTGCTCTTCCTCTGCTGCGGGGAGGGGGCGTGTGGGCTGGCCAGTGGCTGCAGCAAGTTGGGCTGCCCGCAGGAAGGGCAGGCCCCTTCACTTCAATTCTTTCCTTCCCATCTGTGTTTGCCAGCAGCACGGGAGAGGAGGCTCCCTGTGTGCAGGGCCTGGCAGAGAAGTGGGGCTTCATTAGTGTGTGTGTTAAATTCTCTTTTGTGGTCCTTTGTGTAACCCTTTGTAATGATTGAGGTTCTTTCCCCTGCTTGTTTTACCTCCTGCTGGATTTTTACCAATGTCTCTCCCTAGATGGGGAGGCTGCTTTCGGGGAGAGACACCAGCCAGATCTCCCAGGCTGCTTTAGGGTGACTTTCTCTCTGAAATGGCTGTGTCCTCTGTGGAGCCACGCAGCTCTGGGCCTGCTAAAGCCCTGTGTGGCTGCAGATTTTATCTGTACCTTGGGGTTTTTGCTATGGTCCTGGAGCTGCATGGTACTTTGGTGTAAAGCATCAACTCCAAAGTGTGTTCTTTTTTTTCTTACATATGTCATGCTGGTTTAATTTTTTATTTCATTGTCACTGAGCATGGGGTTGGAGCAGTTAATCTAATGTGCTCTAGGCTAAATCATGTTAATTAAACACAGGTTCTAAGCAAGAAAAATGCAGTTTGCTGAGCAGAGGAAGCTTGTTGTCTTTGAGTTAGAAAAATCCACAACAGTTTCTCAAAAGTCTAAGTCTGGTAAGCTTAAAATCCTCTCTATAGCCTATTCTGTGGTGGGGCTTTCACAGTCTTTCCTGCCTGGTGGTCCATCATGCTGAGACTTAACCCACTGTAAACTAAGGTTGACAGGTATGTTCCAAATTTGTTGAACAGAGCTACGTTGAGTTATTTTCCCACTAAAGCTGTTAGGGCTCAATTTTAAATCTCATGGTTACTAAATGGAAACTCAATAAAATAGAAAAAAAAACTGAGAAAGAAGCTGAGCCATTGGAAATTTAACCAACTGGTGACTGAAGCAAGATGTACTGGGGAAGGAGCATAAAATTCTTTAAATAAAAGGTTTTTCTGAAGTATCTGGATAAATGTGTTAAATCTATGGATTAGACAGGCTGCTTTTTGCTGTCACTTGGCTCCTTTCTCTTTTCTGATTCTTACAAGCTACTGATTTAGTTTGCTATTTATTCTCACACGTCTTTCTATAGTCTGGTACTTCTCCTCTCAATAAATATATGGTTTAAGTTGAGAAAGAACATGTTATGGAAAGATGAATAGCTCTTTCTCGTGGATGGCTTGTAAAACTGACAAGAATTGTCATAAAATACGGACCTTTATATTAAACATTCTTATTGTCTATAAATAAGTGTAGTTAAGATAAGAGTGATGTAATTAACATAACAAGCCTGTGTATAATTTTTCTTTTTTGCATGCTAAAGCAAAAAGTAATCAGAAAAGAGGAAAAGGTGGTAACTTTGCATTGATTATGGGTATTAAAATAGTTCATAGTGGGTCGCTTTTTCGATTTAGAGACAGTACTCCTAATGCTTTTCAAAAAACAAATCTTAAATTCAGAGACATCATTAGACTTGTCTTCTCAGCAGTAGTGAGTGCCACTTTATAGAGAATACTGGAAATTATTTAATATGTTTGTACTTGTTGATTGCATGATTTTTGAGCTTGTGTTGCCCTTTGTTCATGATAGAAGTTGTGTCAATGATCATAACTTGTACTGTTTTCATTTTGCCTTTGCAGATAAAGCAATGAGAAGTGACATTTTTTGTGGGATCAGCTTATCTTTCAGACTGGTGTCTCTCTGCTTGCTGTGTGTATCAACTGGAAAGCCGTGTGAGATCAAAAATAAAATGGCTGATTGCAGTCACCAAAAGCTGACTCAAATTCCCTCTGATCTCCCAAAGGATATAATAGGCTTGGACGTTTCTCATAATCAGATAAAAATACTGTCTCCTGAGAATTTCACCAGGTACAACCAGCTGGTTTATTTGAATGCAGGGTACAACAGCATCTCCAAGCTGCAACCAAAATTGTGCCAAAATGTGCCTCTGTTGCAGATTTTGAAGCTAGAACATAATCAGTTGCATGAACTTTCTGACAAAGTCTTTGCTTCCTGCACCAACCTGACTGAGGTCAATTTAGGATATAACATAATAGAAATCAAAAACGATCCTTTCCAAACCCTGAAGGTAAGCTTTAGAAGTATACTTTGTATAAATAAAGTATAAAGGGGTAATTTTACCGTATTCTGATGTGTTTACAAAATCGCTCCTCCCTGCCTCTAAAAAGGGTCCAGTCTATTCTTCCTTTATTGGTCCTTTTCTTTGGAAGATCAGTGATGTCTTGCATCAGAGCACACTGGAGTCTCAACCATCCTTGTGAGTTGCTTCTCCATCCCCTTTTTCCTACTGCATCCCATTGAGGACCCCCTCCATAGAGGAATTGTGCTGGAAGAATAGCAACAGACTTCAGTATAGGGAGAAATGGGTAATGGATGTGGAATCCAAGTAGCTTGGGGCTAGTCTAAATTCTATCAAGGTCAAAGTGTTAATACTGAGACTGTGAACACCAGTGCTTAGGCCAAATCTGTCTCCTGCGGCTTCTGGGTTTGAGGAAAAGTGCCTCTTGCTATGTTAGTATTTCCTGTTAATTTAGATGTGTTTAAACTTTTCTTTTTGTAGCACCTATCAGGCTGTGGGACTAAAACAAGAGTCACAAAAAAGCTATTCCATTGCTTTTAAACTGAGCAGGGATCAGAGCAGGAAAGAAAATAGAGGCAATATGTAGGTACTATGCATTATAGTATGTTATAGTGCTTATTGTTTTGCACAAATCTGAACTTTTTTATTAAACTTGTGTACCAGGTATCTATTATGTAAAATATGCTTCTTTATGTCATAGGAATGCTGACTTGACTAAGCACAAGCAAGTACAGCTGGCCAGCTGCAGGAGGCGGTTGCTTTTATTAGCCTTCCTCACTTCCATTTGTCTGAAGACCAAAGCAAAGAGGGTGAAATTGCCAGGTTTCCTACTGTAGTAGCTAGAGCCAGCCGTGGGCTTGCTGTGCCTGAAGCAGGAGGGCTCCGTGAAATGGAGGAATTCTAGATAAAGTACTACTTTGGTTTGCACTAGATATTTCAGCAGTTGAAGCAATGCAAGTTGGAGACCATGACAGCAATGCAAGTTGGAGATGTGGAAGATAAAACTGTTTCCTGCAGGTGCCGGAAAGGCTTAGGTGTGGTATCGGGTTTGTTATTACTGATTCTTTCTGTGATTCTCAGCAGTAACATGTGACAGACTACCATTCTTTTCTATTACAAATTTATTTTAATTTTAGCCATGTGGCAAATTTTTAGTTGTAGGCTAATGCAATATTTCAGTATGTTTTTGTTATATGAAATTCTTCTGTTTCCTTCTTATCTCCAGAACTTGAACATTTTGGATCTATCTCATAATAATTTGGAGTCAGCAAATCTAGGATCACAAGAACAGCTGAAGAGCCTTCATGAGCTTGTGTTGTCTAGCAATAAGATCAGTGAACTAAAAAAGGAAGACTTCTATTTTCTTAGAAGTACTTCCTTGAATAAACTTGATTTGTCATCAAACCCACTAAAACAGGTAGGAAACACTTCAGAAATCTAACTGATGTAAAAGTGAAATGAAGTTGTTATTCCGTATATACAGCTTTTTGGTTAAATTTTGAATCTACTGACAACAAAGATAAACATTCTTTTGTAATAAAATCCACATTACGTAATTCAGAAAGTGCACAGGTAGAGTAAATTTTGATGCATTTACCTGTTTAGAAGGAACATCTTTGTTTAAATATGCCTCATGACTAAGCCGCTGTTATACCCTGATCTTGTAATGATCTTGAGTCATTACTGCATAAAATTATTTTTCTAAGAAATCATTAAGAGCTCAATTGAGAAGAGTTGTCTCGGGCAAAAGCTAGATCCAGTAGCTGTGTGAACCCTAATTGGGTATATTCTATGCAGAGAAATTGTGTATATGCTAAAGGGGAAGAGCAGATAATGTTTTTCTGTTGAGAGACTGGTAACATCCTTGATTTCTTTCCTGTGGTAAAAAAAGTGTTATGCAAGGCAAGTTAATCTGGATTTTAACTATCTGCTTATCATAGGCATGCAAGCTATCCTACAGAAATGAGCATTGCAAAAAATACTCCGGTCTTTGAAAGGCATGTCTGTCATCTACCTTACTGATTGCTAACTATTTTATACCCATTCTGATTCTGAGTGTTACAGTGTGATTCTTTGAAGAGTGATGGTAAAAGTGCTGCAGAGCTCTAAGCTGGTTGACCTTCAGCACAAGAATTGGTCTGCAAATAGCATTTATACTATAGATGCAAAGTATTTTAAAGTGGCATAAACTTGTAACACTTGAGTCATTCCTTTCCCTCTGCCTGTTTGTTCATTCATCCTTTTTTGCTATGAGTTTCAGGGAGGCTGTGCGCTGCATCAGCCTGGGGAGGAAACTCCAGATTTTTTTGGCTTGGTTGTAGCTGGTTTGGTGCCCTCATCTCATTCACCGCTACATATCCATATGTTGTAGATCAGTGGATTGGAGTGCCATTTGCAGTGTTACTTCATGCTATATCTGAACTTACTCTACTGCTGTCCGAAAGGCAGACCAATGTGCTTTAACCACTCTGGCAAATGAAGTATTTAATTGTCCAGCTTTTGTCAGAAATCAAAACAAGGGACAAACTTGCAATTTATACCATGGAAGTGTGTAGTATCTCACTTCATGAATGTATCTATCTATACAGAGACTAGGTACCCTCTTGGCTAAGTAGCATAAATACTTTTTTCTGTGTATCTTTCTAGTATATTGGCGTCCTTGGCAGATTCCAGTGAAAGTTTATTTTATCTCCATTTTAGTGAAAGTTCTCAATAGATGGATGCAAAATTATAACTAACTTTCATCTCACTAAGCAAGTGTTTATCTTATTATACAGAGCACTACTCGAGTGGTATTACAATTTTAGAACCATTGTTGCATAAAAGATACACTCCAAAAAGTGTTTTGCTAAGCCTGGCACTGGAAAAATCCTAACTTGTCCGATTGAAAATCACTTGTGGAGAGAGTTCTGAATTTTGGCTGTTTGGAGCAACTTTCCTATCCCCTTGTTTATGTTAATTCTTTTCTTTTTCTTTTAAGTTTCATGCAGGATGTTTACGTGCAATTGGAAAACTGTATGGGCTCATACTGAACCATGTTGAACTTGGTGAAAATTTCACAAAGAAACTTTGTACAGAATTATCAGACACAGCAATTCAGAACCTCTCGCTGAGCCAAGTGAAGCTTTCAAATGTTGGCCACTTAACTTTCCAGGGACTGCAAGGAACAAATCTTACTGTTTTAAATCTTTCCAAAAATTCTCTGTCCATCTTAGAAGATGACTCTTTTCAATGGCTTTCAAACTTAGAATATTTAAACCTGGCAGATAATAAGATTGCTGATGTGACTTCTCGATCACTTTATGGATTGTCCAGCGTTAAATATCTGAATCTGAAAAATTCTCTTACTGGGAAAATTGAAGATTTTTCCTTTCGTTGGCTTCACCACTTGGAGTACCTTATAATGGACAATAACAATTTTCCAGGAATTACTGCGAATATGTTCACAGGCCTAAACAGCCTGAAATATCTGAGCCTTTGTAACTGCAACATAAACTTACAAAGAATAACCAATAAAACATTTTCATCACTTGCTAATTCCAGTTTGCAGATTCTCAACCTCACAAAAACTAGAATTTCTACAATAGAAAGTGGGGCGTTTTCCTACTTGGGACACCTGAAAGTTCTTGATCTTGGCCTCAATGAAATTAGCCAAGAGCTCACAGGTCATGAATTTAAAGGTCTCAATAATATACAAACAATCTACCTTTCCTATAACAAAAACTTGATTTTGCAAAGTGAGTCCTTCACTTTTGTTCCAAGCCTTAGAAAACTGATGCTGAGAAAGGTAGGTTGCAGCAATCTGGCACTTTCTCCTTCACCCTTTCACCCTCTACAAAATCTGACAGTCTTGGACATCAGCAACAACAACATAGCAAACATAAAAGATGACTTATTTGATGGACTTCACAAACTTGATATTCTGGATTTGCAGCACAATAATTTAGCTCGGCTTTGGAAACATGCGAATCCAGGTGGCCCTGTTCTTTTTTTAAAAGATCTTCCCAAGTTGCGTATTCTTAATTTAAGATCAAATGGATTTGATGAGATTCCAGTTCAGGTCTTCAAGGGTCTGTTTCAGCTAAATGATTTGGATTTGGGATCAAATAATTTGGATTTGCTTCCAGCAACTTTATTCGATGACCAAGTTTCTCTGAATTCATTGAACCTTCAGAAAAATCTAATAACTTCTGTTGAAGAAAAAGTGTTTGGGCCAGCTTTTAAGAGCTTGAGAAAACTAGAGATGGATTTCAATCCATTTGATTGCACCTGCGAAAGTATTGCTTGGTTTGTTGGATGGCTTAATGTGACCCGGGCCTATATACCTGGATTGCAAAACCAGTACCTTTGTAACACTCCACCTAAATATCATGGTAGTCTGGTGTTGCATTTTGATACTTTAGCCTGTAAAGACAGTGCTCCATTTCAACTACTTTTTGTGATCACTACAACTGCTGTAATGCTGCTCATCTTTATTGTTTTTCTCACCCATTTTGAAGGTTGGAGAATAGCTTTCTACTGGAATATTTCAGTAAATCGAGTACTTGGTTTTAAAGAAATTGACAGACAGCAGGAAGAGTTTGCTTTTGATGCCTACATTATTCATGCAAAAAGGGACAAGGATTGGGTGTCTGAGAACTTTATTTCTTTGGAAGAAAATAATGAGTTTCGTATTAAGTTCTGTTTAGAAGAACGGGATTTTGAAGCAGGCATGTCTGAATTTGAAGCCATAATTCAAAGTATAAGAAGGAGCAGGAAGATTATTTTTATTGTGACTGAACATCTTTTAAAGGATCCGTGGTGCAAGAGGTGAGTGGGACATAATATTTTTATATAAGTGTGTAAATTTCTTTAACAATTTTTTGCAATGCAAGTTTAAAAAAAAAATCTGATTTGCTACATGATGATTTTGGAATAGTTGGAAAGTTCATGAAGTTAATTGCTCCATGTACACATTAGTAGAAATTTTGTTTTGCCAGTTTATTTTTTCAGAAGGTAAAACTGTCATCAGTCCTGGAGATGCTTAAAGTAGAACAATAGTTGGCGAGATCATAAGCATTTGATAAACTTTTGCCTTTAAATCCTTGCTTCTTTCAGTAGCATTCTGGAAAAGAACCATGTTAAACAAGCCTATATTGAGACAGCAAACTGGCTATTTTTAGAGGATGATTTTTTCTTTAGTTAAAAGGTAGTTTGTTAAACAGGAAAAAAATTATGATAAAATGGACAAAAAGCTCTGAATTTGAGCCTGGCACTTGTTTTTGCAATATGGTGTGACCTATGTTACTATTAAGGGAACTATTTGCTGCCTTTTTTTCCTATGTCTATTTATCCTATTTTTTCTTCAGGTTTAAGGTGTATCATGCTGTTCATCAAGCTATTGAACAATGTCGTGACTCCATTATATTGATCTTTCTTCATGATATCCCAGACTACAAGTTGAATCACGCACTTTGCTTGAGAAGAGGAATGTTCAGATCTCGCTGCATCTTGAACTGGCCAGTTCAAAAAGAACGAGTCAGTGCATTTCATCAGCAGTTAATTATGGCACTTAAGTCTAATAGTAAAGTGCACTGAATTTTGAAAATATAGAATTGAAATAATGGAGATATTTTATTGTATGTTTTCTACAATTAGAAAAGCCTTTGGGGGGGAGGAAAATAATTTCTTATATTAGGAAAATATATAATCATTACTATAATTTTTTAATTTTCCTGGCTCATGTTCTAGCTGATATTTTGATTCACTGTGCTGATGTGACATGTTTAAATGAACTGTGATGGTCATTGTAGTCTGTATCAAAAAATGAGAGCAGAATTGAGAAGCATGAAGATGACTGAAGATGACCTAGAAAGTAATGCAAAAAAATTATGGACTCTCTAAAGAAATATACAAAAGTGAATGCAGTAATAAAATACCAAATGTTGTGGAGAAAGAGTGGACCCTTCTCCACTTGTCTCATTTTAATGGCACCAAGGGGAGAATCGGTTAAATAGATGAAAAAGCTTTCTATGCGAAACAGTAAATAATATGGACATTACTTTTAGAGGTGAAGGCAAAAGAATTCAGTAGAGCTTTGACGTTTTAAAATATTTTTTAATATTTTTAATTTTTAATTTTATTTTTTATTTTTTATCTTAATTTTAAGAAAATAAAGAAATTTTACCCTGGGAGCACCCTATTCAGAACATGCAGTGAGGAATTACTTAAGCCTTAATGAGGTTAAAACTCATTGCTATGAAGTTGTTTAATCATCTTTTAATGATTTTAAAATCATCTACTGAAATTCAGAAATCTATAAGGCCATTTATACTGAGATATTTCAAGATGTGCACACATGTAAAGAATTATATGCAGAATTCAAGTGAAATTTGAAGTCAACACCAAGCATGTCAAAGCCTGGTATGCCTGTATGAACTGAATAAAAATAGAGATACTTCTGTAACATAACTAGAAGACCTCTGATTGCAGTTATAGGTAGGAGTGGCAGAGTAACTTCAAAAGGAGATTAATTTCATACTGTTTCTCTTTATGATTGTATAATTTTGCCTTTAACTAAAAAGAACTGTGAAGAAACTGAGTAAATTCTGTAAGTTTTTAGTACAATTACTTTAACACATTCTATAGAAACATGGGTGGGGTGGCAACTGCACCAGTATTAAGGATCAGACCTATAGACTAGGACTGATTTGGAGACAGCTGAGAAAGAGCCAAGTTTTCCGAGATGTTCACAATGTTTGGAAGCTGTTGCAGTTTTATGGAGTTATTGAGCATGTAATTGTAAATTACACTCTAAACAGTCCTTTATTTCTAGTAATATTTAATTGTATAAGTGTTTCAATTTGTAGGTGTTTGATCCTTCAGATTTTTACAACAGCAGTACAGTCTTTTACATAGCAGCAAAGAGATGCTGTCTTTTTTTGGGCCAGTGTCTTTACTGATGGGGACCAGTGTTTCCTTAGTGTTTTTTTACTGTATATTGCTCTGTGATGACCAGGCATCTCTTTCCCAACTGTAAATGTCAGGCTCAGCATCAGGTAAAGATAATTTAGGTGTTTTTCTTGTCTGATGGTAACAAATTTTTATCTGGGCATTTCTAAATTTATTGTAATAAGTGGATTGAAATTTTCTGTTTAATAATCAAACTGTGATGACTGAGTAACAAAAATCCTTCCCGTTTTGCTGCTTTTGTTTCTTCCTGCTTGTTTGTTGGTTTTATTTCAGAATAAAATGGGGATTTTTTCAGTTTGGGACTCAATCTGCATTTATAAAGAGCAGTGCAATAATATATTTTCTTCTGTATACCTTGTAGAAGTTCAAGTATTTTATTCATAGTAGTCAAGCTTATTCTGTTAAGGCTTTGTCAAAAAAACAAAACAAAACACACACAAAAAAGAATATCTTTATTATTGAAAACTATTGTACTCCTTACCTAGACTTCAGATTTGAATTTATCCAAGTTTGACAACTACGGTATTGCATCATTCAGTATTTACACATAGGAAGTTTTTGCTTATCCAAATGGAATTCCTTTGTGACCAAGCTTTATTGGTATTGATAGTCTTTTAGAAGACATTGCCAATGCTCACTGTTTAAATTTATTTACATATGAATTTATATGTAGTAATTAGCTAATACATCAAAGTATCTGTATTATGCTTGTTGATTTTTTTCCCTCAGATGTTTTAGTTGGTGGCAATCAAAATAACACAAAAGAGCAAAAATAGTGCACATTTGGAATGCATTTCTTCCTCTCTCCCCTAGATACTCTGCACATCCCAGGGCCTTTTCACAGCTCCACAGTTATCAAGACTAGGGCTCTCTAAGACTAAACTAGAGATGTACTTCAAATATTATTATGTGTGCTAGCTATTTAGGTAGTGAGCTCATATCCTTCTAATCACATTGAATCAATGTTAATGAATTAAGCTGTTTATTTCAAGTGGCAAAAAAGAGTCTGCTTCCTTGGAAAAATGTATTGTGAAATATTGAAAACCTGCATAAAAAGCCTGCTTGAGAGCTTGGTATGAGAGAGGTGGTTTTATCTATGGTTTTAGCTTATAAAATTAACATTTGGGTACCAGTGTTCTCCTACATGGGTGGTACTGAAAGTAACCCTTTCTTTTTAATGTTCTATGCATTTTGTTTTTGAAGCTTTGTAAAGTTTTTTGGCATGTAACTAGTTAGAGGTGAAATGGTAAAAAGTGCTAAAAACAACCAATATATTTCTCAAAGTGCTTTCAAATGCTAGGAACTTTCTTGTGTGCCTTTAATGCTTGTTGCTGCTCTTGGATACTAAGGTGGTATTTTTTACATATAAGCATTTTATTACTAATTTAGGATGTAGTGAGCTGGATCACTAGTATTGGTGAGTTTAGTGTGCAATTGTTTGCATTTTTTATATAGAGGGTGTGCTAATATGTTGAGTAACCAACTACAGTTTGATAAAGAGATAAAATTTTCCATAGCAGCTCACCTATAAACAGTTTATATAACTTCTAGTGGTCTTCAAATTTGTTTCAAGAAGTGGTTGAAATCCATGCTTTGTCCATAGTGGGTGGTTTTTTTTTTTTTTTTTTTTTTTTTTTTAAGTATAGCCTCGGTTGGTACTAGCATTGAATCAATGTTTTCAGTATTTCCAGTGAAGAGATTTTTGGGATCCTTTGGTAATTTGTTAGAACTTCATGGTCACTTCAGTTTCACTGCTAATAGCATTTCTCTCAGTTTCATCAGGCAACTTGAATTAGAGATTCTGGGATTTGGTATCTAGAAAAAGAGAGTTCACATATATTACTTTGATTCCCTGGTGTGTGTGATGTTTTGTTGCGGTGGGGAGGGGGAGGCAGTTCAGGCCAGTCAAGCCAACTATTAAAAGAAAATAATACTGGGGGGCAAGTTTAGAGATATATGTTCATTTCAATATCAAATTCCAGTGTCTTTTAATGATATCTACTCTGGATTTTAAATTTTACTCAACTTCTTTCTTCATTCAGTGAAATTGGGTGGTAGGGGGTGTTTGGAAAATCAGACTTATTCCTCCTTAAATAGCCTGATTTCCTTGTAGAAACCTGCCTTTTCCAAGCTAGTGTGTCAAGCTTCTGCCAGGCTGTGGGAAGGAAGGTTACATGGCTTCTTTAAGTAAGAGAGCTGCTTAGCTCTCTTGGGGTAGAGAGCCGGTCTGCACATAGAATAAGCGGCGCAGAGCATCCTGGCTTGGCAAAAAGGTGCCCTGCTCTGGGAAGCAGGCAAGGCCCAGGTGGGTATGTCTGCAGCAGGGGATGATGAAGGGGAAGATGGAAATTCTAGTTACGTTACAATTACGACAGTCTTATCCAGCAAGATTGTATGCTGCTTTAGCAGGATTTGCTCAGTGTTCTTGGCCAGTTGTGGAGCATTTGCTGGAGATTATATTGGCTTTGGTGTACATGCTGTCTCTTATACCTCTAAATGAGGGAAGTGCTATGGTGGGTCCCTCACCAGGGTAGTAAAGACCTTAGGGTATAGTCTTGAGGTTTGGGCATGGTGGGGTCAGCCAAGGGTTGTGTTTTGCTCCAGCAGTGCCTCGTTTCCCTGCAAGACCATCCTCCAAGCAAGGTCATAGCAAGGGTAGAGGAAAGGTTTGGTCCCAGAGGAAGGAGCAGTTCCTTAGCATTCTCACTGTGGTCTCCCCACAGGACTGTGTACATGCAGGGCTGTGTACGAGGACTTTTTAAAATTCATTTCTCAGAGGTGGAAGTGTGACTGTTCAGAACACCTATACACCAGACTTTCCTGGAGATTAATAAACAGAATGGAAAAAAAAGTTCTGATCTTAAAAATATGCTGAGGAAAGAAATCTATTATAAAAATAAACTATTTTCTCTGTATCATCTTACGGATGTGCATTTGTGGACCGCTTCCAAGTGTTTTGTTCAGCTGCTGCCACCTCCCTGTCTCCTGGTCAGACACTTGATCCTTCAGTGCTAAAAGCTTCCTGTCAGATTCAAAGAAATCTCTCTTCTCTAGGCACTAATTAGCATTCTTTATTATTGCAGTCAGTTAAGATGATAGTGTTTTTCTTTACATTAATTCATAATTTATTTTAAAGGTTTACTTCTGTAACTTCCTGTCTGTCTTGCTTTTAGAAATTGTATTTCCTAGAACCAAGTATTATGATTGTTTTCATTTCCAATGAACCAAAATTAGAAATAGATAAAAGATAATGTATTTCTCCACCAGTTCATGCCATGTTAAAGGCTACTCTGCTTTCAAGCAGTTTTATAATTTTGACATGATTAGTACATTCTTAGCAGAATGAAATGATTATATACCAGCAGTTTAAGTAGTTAAGCCTAACTTTAAAAAAAAAAAAAAAAAAAAAAGTTTATTGCAAAGGTTTATTGCTTGTAAATATAGGAACAGAGCTCAAATGAGGTCATTACTGTGATAGCCACAGATCTCTTTCAGGATTGAGTAGGAAGGTCTGCCTAAGATGTTATGTTGTATATAGAGGGTGTTATTCCTATTAATGCATTAAAAATGTCCTGACAGTGCCAGAAGGTGCTTTACATATGTTGCTCTCATTCTTTTTGTCAGTGATTTAAA